TATGAGTGTACATGTGCAAACACGAGCGTTTGTATGGCCATGAGTGTATGTGTGTATGTGCGTTTGTGTACGCATACATATGTATGCATGTTTGTATGTGTATGTGTGTGTGCGTACGTTTATGTGCATGCGCATGTAGCATGTATGTGGCGTGCATGTGCTCGTAAGTGTAACGTGTGTGCGTGCGTGGATATGTACGCTTTTGTGCATGCACCATACGTGTGTATGTGCTAATCTGCTTATGCGTGTGCACGAATGCATGCATGTGTGAGTGCGTGTTTGTGTGCAACGTATGTATGCATGGCTCTGTGTATAGATATGAGTGCATGCATCTTTGTGTGTATGTGTGTGTATGCTTCACGTATAATTATGTAGGTATGAATCTTTGTATTTTTATAGTGTGTATGTGTGTATGTGCGTGTCTGTGTTTGTATGTGACGTCAAATTTTCTCATATCAAAGAAATTGTGAAATTACAGGTAAAAAATCAAGTGTGTTTCTGATAATTTTTTTGATTTTTTCTTCTCACAGCGAAAAAAGAATGTACCTGGATTTCCAAGGGTTGAAACGGAATATCGGTTATTGGATCGGATATCGATAGGCATCAAATCCCGAAGCCACAACACTTTCGGACGTGGTTCGCCACGCACTCGACAAGACACGTGTGCTGTACGACCTTGCTCCACTGACTTCAATACCGGATGTGCTTCAATCACAGGGAATCCTTCTGGAAGCTGCTCTGCAAAAAAAAAAAGAAACAAAAGTTTATTTGTAGCAGCTCTAAAATTTTAAATTAATAGCGCGATCGCCCGGGCTATCGGCGTGGGTATCTTTGTTAATGATTTTACTGGGATGCTCCTACATGTAGAGCGCGACTATGCCAAGCTCCTTCATCCTGAATTGCATAGCTCTAATTAGCACCAATGCTTGCTCGATGTATGTTTGCTAGCTCTGCAAAGACTATCCGACCAGTCGTTTACTTCCTCGTGAGTACCACTCATTAATGCAACATTATTATTATCGTTATCAATATTACTATCGTTATCGTTATCACCATTACTCCTATTATTATTATTATTATTCGTACTATTATTATTGTTGTTACTATCATTGTTGTCAGTGGCTTAGTATTCCTCCTGCATGAATAACTTAACTGTTTATTATACTTTT